ATAAGAAAATATTTCACATTTTGCTTCCACAAATATTAGATATTACGATAGTGAATTGGTGCATGTGATGACCCAAAAGATCATCACTCGTTTTGAAAGTAAATTTAGTGTTACGAGGACTTAAAAAACTCTTTTTGTATCACCTCAATTTGCGTGCGCAGTCTGGGCGCGTTTCCGAAAAGCTTTCATGGGAAAACTAAGTAAAATAAGGAAATTGACTTTTAAGAGTGAATAAAGTTGACTTTGGTTAACATTCTTGGTAAACGGACCTGTACCCATGATCTGACGGTCTTGTAGGGTCCGTAGTAAAATTTGGGACTTAGGTATATACCCGGAATCGAACTCCGAGGTCCCAAGCCCGAGAAATGAATTTTTGAAAGAAATTATTTAACTAAAATTATAAGAAGTTTTGGAAATGAAAAGATGTTTAAAGTTGATGGTATCGGGCCTGTATTTTGGTTCCAGAACCCGGTACAAGTCTTATATAATAAATAAGTTGAACCTGTGAAGTTTGGTAAGAATCAGAGTTCGTTTAGTATAAACTGGACATTTATTTGAGAATTTGGAGATTTTGATGTTCTTGAGTGATTTCACGAATTTGAGGTTTAATTCATAGTTATTGATGTTATTTGCATGAGCAAGTCCGTATGATATTTTTCGACTTGCATGCATGTTTGGTTTGGAGCCCCGAGGGCTCGGGTGAGTTTTGGATAGGCCATAAAGTGAAATTGGACTTAGGAAAACTGTTGTTGTGTTGCAGGTCTGCAAGTTTGGCAATTGCGAAGCCTGGCTCGCAAGTGCGAAGAAACATCGCAATTGCGATGATTGGCTGGGGCAGGGAACCTTCGCATTTGCGAGGCTTATGTCGAAAATGCGACCTTAGCAGGCACCGCAATTGCGAACAATTATTCGCATTTGCGAAGAAAGCAGAGGCAAGCCTTCCTTCGCAATTGCGAAGCTTTGGCCGCAATTGCAAGTTTGCATTTGCGAACATATAATCGCAAATGCGATATCTGCGCCTGTGCAAATTATAACTTAGTTGAAAATTCTTCATTTTTTCAAACTCCCTAAAACCCTAAGCTCTCTTGGACGATTTTCTAAAGAAAAGTTCTTCTCCAAATCGATTGTAAGTCATTTCTTACTCATTTTCTTTTATCTATAACATCGTTTTACATGATTTCAACTCATAATCAAGGGTTTTCATGGGGAAAATTGGGTTTTTTGGGTAGAACTTAGAATTTTTAATTTTTGGGAATTTGGACCTCGATTTGAGGTCCGATTTCAAAATAAATTATATATTTGAGTTCGTGCGTGAATGGGTAAGCGGGTTTTGGTTCGAACCTCGGGTTTTGACCATGTGGGTCTGGGGTCGATTTTTGACTTTTTGGGGAAATCTTTAGAAAACCTATTTACATGCATTAGAATTGATTCATTTAGCATTTATTAATATTGTTAAGTAAATTGTGGCTAGATACAAGTGAATTGGTGGTGGAAACAAGAGGTAAATCGATAGTTGAGGCTTGAATTCTGTTCGTGGCATTGAGGTAAGTGTTTAGTCTAACCTTAGCTTGAGGGATTAGGAGTTGTGTCTTATTTTCTATGTGTTAATTGTTGAGTACGACGTATAGGTGTGGTGATGAGTATCTATACGTCGGTGTCAATCATGCCCTTGAGTCTTTTACATGATTAATATGGCCCCGTTTCATATTATTCATGCTTTATATGATGATTTCTATTATTGAACAAGGCTTGTGGAAGTATTATTGGTAATTGAACATTGTAGAGCGTTGGCTCAAGTTGAGAATTGAGTGTTGAAATAATTGTGGAAAAGAGAATAGGTTTATGATATTGTCTTCCTTTCCGGAATGTTATTGCTTTTGATATTATCTCCCTTGCCTGGATATTATTACTCATGATATTGTTTCCCTTGCCGGGATATTATTACTATGCTATTGTTCCCTTGCCGGGATTTTATTGTGATATTATTGATTCCCTTGCCCAAATTGCTTTCTGATTGTTGCTTGGGTGAGGAAGAGTGTAAAGCACGAAGGGTGATGTCGTGCATGTTTTTGAGAGTGTTAATACATGAAGGGTGATGTCGTGCTGATATTGTGAGCTAAAAGCACGAAGTGTGATGTCATGTCGCACGATGTAAAATGTCGTGCCATGATATGAGTGATAATGCATGAAGGATAATTCCGTCCATGATTATATGAGGTAAAAGCACGAAGGGTAATGTCGTACCGATTATATTGATTCTTATAGCGAGGACGAGAGTAAAAGCACGAAGGGTGATACCGTGCACTTGTCTTTGATTTCCTGATTCTTGCTGATAATTGAATTATGGTGTTCTTTACATTTATCTATTGGTTTTCTGGTGTTACTTGATATTCCCCGCAACATGTTTCCCCCTCCTATCTTTAACTGTAAATTTCTGCCTTTATTTTCCCACTGTATATGATTTAACTGCACCGGTTTATTTGGTAGTATTATCCTAGCCTCGTCACTAATTCGTCGAGGTTAGGCTAGGCACTTACCAGCACATGGGATCGGTTGTGCAGATACTACACTCTGCACTGTATGTAGATCCCGATGTTGCATCTTTTGGACCATAGTGAGGTTGCTGCCTTCAGTCCATCACGCGACCCGAGGTAGTCCTGTAGGCATCCGCAGGCCTTGGCGTTTCCTTCTATCCTTCCATACTGTTTCTTTTATGTATTTCAGAAATAGCTTTGTATTTATCTTTCAAACCCCTATTTGTAGTATTCCTAAACAGTCTGTGAGATTGTGACACCAATTCTGGGTAGTTTTTACTTATGGATTTGTATCGATATTATTCTAAATTGTTACATTTCGTTCTTCCGCTTTATTATTTTTGCTATTTATAAAATGTTAACTCGCAATCGTTAAGGGATTAAAAATGAAAAGGAAATAATTGGAATAATTGGCTTGCCTAACTTTTACTAGTATGCACCATCACGACTCTCGAGGGTGGGAAATCCGGGTTGTGACATTGCGATAGACAATATAACTGTTCTAATAGATCTAGCAAATAGCAATTGCAGCCCTCTAATAACTGTTGCAATAAGATACAGATTTTTGTTCCAATATATAACAAAACCATTACAATAAATCATGTAAACCGTCGCCATAGACTAAAAAAGATCGTTAGTATAATTATAACACAATGATTTATAACCGTTTCAATACAACAGAAAGTCGTTCCCATAGTCTAATCAATGGTTGCAATTATAACTATTACAATAGCCATATATGGAGACGGTTTTGAAACCGTTACACATAACCGTTCCAATTGGCCTATTGTAACGCTGAATCTTGGAACGCATCATAAACTATCCCATTAGCCCTACAGGGATGGTTTTAGTATCTATAGGTACGGTTTTGAAAGGGTTGCCATAGGCTTAATTTCTAGTAGTGTACAATGTACACGATTTCGAGTTAGCAGCCATTGTCCACGCCATTAAGATTTGGAGGCATTATCTTTATGGTGTGTCTTATGATGTTTTCATATATCACAAGAGTCTCCAACATTTATTCAAGCAAAAGGATTTGAACTTGAGGCAACAGAGGTGGTTAGAGCTACTAAAGGACTATGATATCACCATTCTTTATCATCCGGGAAAGTCCAATATGGTGGCCGATGCTTTGTGTAGGAAGGCTGAGAGCATGGGGAGTCTTTCTTATATTCCATTTGGGGAGAGACTATTAGCTTTCGATGTTCAAGCTTTGGCCAACAGGTTCATGAGGTTGGATGTTTTGGAGCCTCGCCAGGTTCTTGCTTGCATGGTTTTGCGATATTCTTTGATTGAGCGTATCAAGGTGCATCATTATGATGATCCCACTTATCCTAAAGGACATAGTGCAGCACAGTGATGCCAAGGTTACTATTGGTAATTATAGGGTATTGAGGCTATAGGGTCGGATTTGTGTGCCTAATGTGGATAGATATTGAGAGTTGATACTTGAGGAGGCCCATAGTTCATGATATACATTCGTATGTGTGCTGCGAAGAAGTATCAGAACTTGAGGCAACACTATTGGTCGCAGAGGATGAAGAAGTATATTGTTGAGTATGTTATTCGGTGTTTGAACTGTCGGCAGGTGAAGTACGAGCATTGGAGGCCTGGAGGTTTTCTTTAAAGGCTTGATATTCCGGAGTGGAAGTGGGAGCGTATCACTACAGATTTTGAAGTGGGGCTTCCATGGAATTTGAGGAAATTTGATGCAGTCTGGGTCATTACGGACAGACTAACCAAGTCTGAACACTTCATTCCAGTCATGACTACCTACTCCTCAGAGCAGTTGGCTAGGATTTACATCCGTGAGATTGTTCTCCTTCAGAGTGTGCCTATGTCTATTATCTCATTTCGAAGCACTCAGTTCACATTGTATTTTTGGAGAGCAGTGCAGCGAGGGTTAGGCACACAGGTCGAGCTGAGTACAACATTTCATACCCAGATAGGCAGATAGTCCGAATGCACTCTTCAGATATTGGAGGGCATATTATGAACCAGTGTCATGATTTAGGGGGATCATGGGATAAGCTTCTAGTAATAGCAGAGTTTGCCTATAACAACGACTATCAGTCGAGTATTATGATGGATCCATATGAAGCCTTAAATAGGAGATGATATCGTTCTCCGATTGGTTAGTTTGAGACCGAGAGGCTACTGTTGTTTGACACTAATTTGGTATGTGATAGTTTTGAGAAGGTGAAGTTGATTCAGGAATGGCTTTGTACATCGTAGTCCAAGCAGAAAAGTTATGCTGACAGTAAGGCTCATGATGTTTCATATATGGTGGGTGAGAAGGGTTTTCTCAGAGTTACGCCCATGAAGGGTGTGATGTGGTTCGGGAAGAAGGGAAGTTGAGACCTAGCTATATTGGTCCTTTTTAGGTTCTTGTGTTTGTTGGAGAGGTGGCGTACATACTTTCCTTGACACGTAGTATATCAGGAGTTCACCCATTATTTCATGTTTCTATGCTCCAGAAGTATTATGAGAATCTTTCACATGTTTTGGGCTTCAGCATGGTGCAAGAATCAGGTCACCATGTACCTGACACTGATGACACTTTCGGACAAAACTAAAGCAATCCTTTTCCATGGTTATCTAGTAATAACCTACCCGAAGGATTTTCTTTGCAAGGACATATCCATTTATATGGGGTCCACATACTCCCGCATGCACTTTATTCATGATTTTTCCAGCCTTTTGGGCATCCACGCATCTTAAAAGGTTCAAGTCTGGAGTTCTTTTGTACAAGACCTCTCCGCTCAAGAAGAAACTACTGGCGAGCCTTCTAATGGTTCTCTTTTCGTCTATACTAGCTTTCTCGGGATATTCCTTTGTTTTCAAAAACCTTTTGATATCATGATACCATGGTTGAACATCTGGTTCTATTACAACCATATTGTAATAACCATGTCTTTCTCGGATTTGGATATCCAACGGGTCGATATGGACATTACTCGGATATGGCAACATTTCGGCCAAGGTAGCTAATGCATCAGCTAACTCATTGTGGAATCGGGGGATGTACCTGAATTCAACAGACTTGAACCGTTTGATAAGATCTTCCACATGTTGCCTGTATGGGATAAGCTTGATGTCCCTAGTTTCCCATTCACCTTGAGCTTGTCGACTAATTAAGTCAGAATCTCCCATAATTAACAATTCTTCCACATCCAGTTCAATCGCCATGCTCATGCCCATAATGCAAGCTTCATACTCGATGGTGTTGTTCATACATAAGAAACAAAGTCGGGATATGGCCGGATAGTACTGACCAGTGGGCAAAATCAAAATTGGCCCAATCCCGACACATTTTGCATTTACAGCTCCGTCAAAGAATATTTTCCAAGCATTGGTGCCTTCTGGAATTACCTCAACTGAATTTACTTCCTCATTTGGAAAGTAAGTACTCAAAGGATGATATTCATCATCAATAGGATTCTCAGCTAGATGTTCCGCCAATGCTTGAGCTTTCATCGTCGTGCGGGTGAAGTAAACAATGTCAAACTCACTGTGCAGGATTTTCCATTTTGCTAGCCTTCTTGTGGGCATCGATTTTGGAATATGTACTTCAAAGGATCCAATCTGGTTATGAGATAGGTGGTATAATCCAACAAGTAACGCCTAAGCTTCTGAGCGACCCAAACTAGGGCACAGTAAGTTCTTTACAACAAAGTGTACTTGGTTTCATAACTAGTGAATTTCTTGCTCAAATAGTATATGGCTTGTTCTTTCTTCCCAGTCGCATCGTATTTCCGGAGAACACATCGAAAAAAATTCTCCAACACTGTCAAGTACAAGAACAAAGGTCTCCAAGGCTCGGGTGGGACCAACATTGGTGGATTCTACATATATTCTTTGATTTTGTCGAAAGCTTCTTGACACTCATCCGTCAACCTGATTGCCGCATCTTTCTTCAATAGCTTAAATATGGGCTCACGTGTGGTATTCAACTGAGCAATGAACCTGCTAATGTAATTCCACATTTCCAACAGACTCATAACCTCTTTCTTGGTTCTCGGAGGGGACAAATCCCGAATAGACTTTATCTTTGTTGGATCTAGCTCGATGACCCTCCGACTGACTATAAACCCCAAAAGTTTCCTAGATGGAACTCCAAATACACATTTAGCTGGATTTAACTTCAACCCATACTTATGCAGACACTCAAAGAACTTTCTCAGATCCCCCACATGGTTGTCCTGCGTTCTAGATTTAATGATCACATCATCCACATACACCTCAAATTCCTAGTGCATCATGTCGTGAAAGATGGCAGTCATAGCTCTCATGTAAGTTGCCCCGGCGTTCTTCAAACCAAACGGCATGACCCTATAACAGTAAGTTCCCCAGGGTGTGGCGAAAGCCGTCTTTTCTACGTCTTCTTCATCCATTAGAACCTGGTGATACCCAGCATAAAAATCCACGAAAGATTGTATCTCATGTTTGGCACAGTTGTCAACAAGAATGTGGATGTTTGGTAATGGAAAGTTGTCCTTGGGACTTGCTTTGTTCAAATCCCGATAATCAACACACACTCGGGTTTTCCCTCTTTATTTGGCACTGGGACCATATTAGCCAACCATATGGTGTATCAGACCACTTGGATCACACCGGCTTTCAGCTGTTTGGTGACTTCTTCTTTGATTTTGTCACTGATATCCGTTTTAAACTTTCTCTGCTTTTGTTGGACAGGTGGATAACTGGCATAAGTTGGAAATTTGTGCACGACTAAGTCAACACTCAGTCCTGGCATATCATTATAGGACCAGGCAAACACGTCTTTGAATTCGAGCAAAAGTTGGATCAATGCATCTCTAGTTCTTTCGTCAGTGTGAATGCTTATCATGGTTTCATGGACCTCTTCCGGACTACCCAAATTAACTGGCTCGGTTTCATTTAAATTTGGCTTAGGCTTATTCTCAAATTGTTCCAGTTGTTGATTTATTTCCCTAAAAGACTCATCTTCATCATATTCTGGTTCTTGATTTATTATTTCATAGTTAGACAACGTATTAAGATCTAGGCATGAAGTATGCAAGCATGGCATGTTATTTATGTCCGCATTATTAGAACTAAAAAAAAGAGATAAGAAAAAATAACAAAAATTAGAAAGAATAAAGAAAGAGATTCATAGATGATGAAATATTGATTTCACTTCATTGAATTTGAAGTTATGAGGGTTTACATCAGACATTAAAAAACAATAAACTAAAAAAATTCGAGTTACACCTTGAAATAACTCGAAATGCAGAAAAAATGGCAAGAGTGAACTAACGGGATTCCCGCCTGACTGGGAACGGAGTAGCCTTCCAATTTTGAAGCTTAGCATTTGGCCCCATATATTGCACCTCAGCAGTGCTTGAGCCTTCACCCGGTTGGACCATCTGAACCTCGTACAACATTTGCCTCATTGCCCCACAAATGTCCTCAATTTCTTCGGTTGTGAATGCCTCTTCTTCTTCTATGTATCTTGGCTTAACAAACGTCCCGGCGAGATGCGGGACCGGCTGAGGCAGGACCCACCCATTGTTCTTACGTTCATTTGCCTATTTTACATCAGCCTCTGTAGCTTGGAAGTTGTATGTGGCAAAATCAGAGGGTCCAATTTCTTGCTATTAAGTCACTTCAGAAGAACACCTCGAGGACGCGAAGCTGTGACCGAGTTCCCTCCCTCAAAGTAGTTGAGGCCCGACCTAAAGAGAATATTGATCGAGGATAGAGTGAAATAGGGGATTCCCAAGGCATGCGGATAAGTCTGACAAAGTCGACCTGTCCGGAGCCTGTATCAAGGTGTCACATCTAGCCGTCTCATCTCCATACCTTTACAATTAATGCATTTTGTACTATGTTTGATTTCTCCTCCTGTATAAAGGAGATCCTTACCACTTTGTAAAGGGTTGTTGTTGCTCCAACTATTCCACACAAGATAAATAACAACTCTCTCTCTCCTTCTTTTCTCTCTAACATATTCTCTCGACACTATTGCTATTGCTTATTACGTTCATACTTGTTCTTCATTTATTGCTCGTTATTGCCCAAAAAGAGCCTCCTTTAATTATATTATAACTATTAGCCCCTTCCCGATTATTACCGATAGCTCGAGCCCGAGCCTAGGTATCGACCTCGAGGCTCCTCATCGGTTAGTCTGAGGACCGGACAGCTAACCCCTTGGTTTGATTATAACTCTATTTTAGCTCGCACTTCATCTTTTATCTTCATATATCTAGCATCAACTGCTTTAACAACTTGCATAAAAATAGATCACGTATTTTTAGAGTCCCATCAACAAATTTAATTGTTATTATTATTTTCACGGTAAACAGTTTGGCACCCATCGTGGGGCTAAAAATAATACTGATTATTTTCTTGCTGGTTTCGTTACGCAACACAAGTTATCTTTCACACTTTTTCTTGTCCAAGATCTTCGATTTCAGGTTAAAATATCTGGCTCAGTAAATAGAGTTGAGAACAAAAACCTTGAGAACCACAGAGAAAACGGTATGGTTGTTCCAATTGTTGACGCTCCGCCACAGAACCCCGACAACGCACCTGGGCCGATTCTAGGGGACGCGGGTTCACAAGACGCAAAATAGGTCAACGAAACCTCACACGCCGACAGAAGCATACAACATGGCGACCAACAGGAAGCCCAAAAAACCCTAGCTTGGGAAGAACGGGAAGTTAGTCTTCATATTATTTTTGAAATGTTTCAGGCACAACAACTGGTTATCGCTCAAGTACAAAGCCACTCGAAGACTCCCAGCATAATAGCACCGGAAGCTACTACCCCAGCCGAACAGGTACCGGAGTGATCGAGCAACAATGGATCGGTAGTTGATCCTACCATCGTAAAACTGCTCAAGGACCTCACCAAAAGGATCGAGTCGGGCGAGAAAATGATAGTAGCCAACGAAGGTCAAAACCTATAACTCCAGGCTCGACCAAATCTCAAGTGCACCCCCGGTCTTGAAGGGTGTAGATTCAAATAAGTTCGTACAACGGCCGAACCAAAGGAAGCAGCTCCGAAACCCATTCCAAAGAAGTTCAGAATGCCAGAACTCCCAATATACAACTGGACCTTAGATCCCAACGAACATGTCACTGCATATACGTGCGCGATAAAGGGCAACGACATAAAAGACGACGAGATTGAGTCCGTCTTACTAAAGAAGTTCAGAGAAATGCTCTCGAAGGGGGCCATGATGTGGTATCATAACCTAACTCCCAACTCCATAGATTCATTTGTCGTGCTAGCAGACTCCTTCATAAAGGCACATGCCGGTTCCATCAAAGTAGCAACTAGGAAGTCCGACGTATTCAAGATTAAGAAGAGGGAGAACGAAATGCTACGAGAATTCGTGTCTCACTTCCAAACGAAATGAATGGAACTACACCCGGTCTCCGATGACTGGGAGGTGCAGGCCTTCACTCAAGGCCTAAATGAACGAAGCTCAGTGGCCTTAAGGCAGCTGAAAGAGAATCTGATCGAGTATCCCGCCGTAACTTGGTCGGACGTCCAAAACCGATACCAGTCAAAAATCAGGGTTGAGGATGGCCAGTTGGGAGCCCCCTCGCGCTCAGTATATCTGAGCAGACTCCTGGCGAAGGAGTCGAAACTGAACAAAGAGAGGAATTAGTCGTACCCCGAAGATAGGAGGAAAGCCCCGAGATGCAATCCGCCTCACAACGATCGATTGGTGAACCGAGGACAGAACCCTCTGGACCTCATCAACAGAGGCGAATTCGACAGGGACATGGGGCCAACGGTGGCACCTCAACTATCAGAATACAACATCAACGTTGATGTGCCGGAGGTCGTGTTCACCATTATCAAAACCAGGGACACCGAATGGCCCAGGCCTATTCAGTCAGATCCGTCCTAGAGGAATGACAACTCAGTATGAGAACTTCATGATACGCACAGCCATAGGGCCAAAGATTTCCACCAGCTCCGAACGGAAATAGCCAGACTACTCAATAAAAGTCACTGCCGAGAATTTGTTAGCGACCGACCTAAAATTCAGTTCCGAGAAAGAGAGGCAGCCAAGAAGAATGAAGTAAATGAGCCATGACATATTATTCACATGATATTGGAGGGGCATCGACACTCCCCAGGAACCTGTGAAGAGGAGGACAAAAATATCCATCACCAGAGAAAAATGAACCTGGGGATACGTACCCGAAGA